GCTCCCTGATTGGACCAGATTATCAGCCCCAATCAGGGAATTCCTATTCCATGAGGTCCACTTGGCTGACCTCGTTACAATCATCACAGCCTTTTAAATGCTTGTCGAAACTTTTGCTATTTATTTTTACATTCCGACCAAATTTCCTCTTATGCTCTGATTTCGTCCTCCTGGTTAACATTTTAGTCATTGTCTACAGTGCTTAATATTCTGACCAATCATTTCACTTGCCACTCATCTTCATGCAGTTACATGCTTTATGTCTATATGCTAAGTTTTATGCCTTCCCTATCTTGTTTAATTAACTATGAATGGTGAATCCTCCCTTTAGGGACTTTTTGTTTATAGTAGGGACACACTTATTCTGTGTGTTCTGAAATATCCCCTTAAATTTCAGTACTGCTTCTCTATTGGTTTGATCCTTAATCTAGTGTGCCAGTTCACTTTCATATGCACATAGTTGCCCACATTTAAGTTTAAAATTCTATAGTAGTGGTCTTAGCCCCAATCCTCTCCCTTTCAAACTGATGCAACATTCATGTGATTGTCAGTTGTGCCTTAACTCTAAAATCATTAACTAATCGCGACATAATATCAGGTTTAATATAACCTGAACTCTGATCATTTCTTAAAACAGCATGTTTTGGAATGAATCTTGAAAACATTCTAGGAATTCCTCATCAAGGGTACCAACTTCAGAGTTTTTTGAAGAGATGATAAAGGTGGTGGACGAGGTAAGTCAATGGATATTGTTTATCTGGACTTTCAGAAGGTTTATGATAAAGTCCCACACAGGACACTGATCTAAGGTGAAATTACTGACATGGATAGGAAATTGGTTGAGTGGCAGGAAACAGAGTTAGAATGATGGGTAAGTATTCAAATTGGCAGGACATGACTAGTAGTGTCCAAGAGAGATCTGTGTTGGCGCCTCAATTATTCACCATAAATGAATTGGATAGTGGCATAAAAGGTCAAGTATCCAAATTAACTGACAATACAAAATTGGACAACATTATAGGCAGTGTTGACAACAGCATAAAATTATTACAGGATGTTGATATGTAGGTGAATGGGCAAAGCTGTGGCAGATAGATTTTAATAAAAGCAAATGTGAGGGTGGTTATTCATTTTGGACCTAAAAGGAATAGATCGTGGATAACACAGTATGGAGCTGGAGGAACACAGCAGGCCAGGCAGCATCAGAGGAGCAGGAAAGTTGATATTCCAGGTCAGGACCCTTCTTCAGAAACGGCCATTTCTGAAGAAGGGTCCTGACCCAAAATGTCAACTTTCCTACTCCTCTGATGCTGCCTGACCTGCTGTGTTCCTCCAGCTCCACAATGTGCTATCTCTAACTCCAGCGTTGGCAGTTCTTACTATCTCTGAGGGATAGATCGTGTTTTTTTTTTAAGAAAGACCAAAGTTAAATATAGTGGATGTCCAATGAGATTTGAGGGTTCAGGTGCATAGCTCTTTAAAATGCACAAACTGGTGCAGAAAATAATGAAGAATGCTAATGCGATGCTGGACTTCATTTCTAAAGAGCTGGAGTATAGGGATGCTGACGTTATGGTGCAGTTATACAAAACCCTAGTTAGACCCCAATTGGAGTACTGTGAGCAAATCTGGGCACCACATCTTAGGAAGGATGCCCTGGAGGGAGATCAACACAGGTTTACAAGGATCATACTGGGACTTCAGGGGTTAAGTTATGAAGACAGATTAGATAAATTAGACCTTTATTCTCGAGAATTTATAAGTTAAAGGGTGATCTAATTGAGGTTTTCAGGGTATTGAGGGTGAAAGACAGGGTAGAAAAATATTTCCACTGGTTGAAGATTCTAGAACCAGGGGCATAGTCTAAGAATTAGGGCCAGACCATTCAGGACAGATGTTAGAAAACACTTCTACATACAAAGAGTAATGTGGTTTTGTAGGTCTCTTCGTCAAATGGTGGTCAATGTTAACTCAATTGTTAAATTTAAACCTGAGACAGGCAATTTTTTATTAAGCAAGGGTATCAAGGGATATGGGCCTAAGGCAGGTACATGGAGTTAGGACGCAGATCAGCTATGATCATATTGAATGGCAGAACAGGCTCGGGGGGCTCAATGGTTTACTCCTGTTCCTATGTTTCTGTTGCCAATTTAATTTATTCAGTTTAAGTGTTGATTAAAGACAGCCATGATTATGGCTGCCCCTTTATTGTAAACACTCAATAGTATTTCTTGTATTCTTTGCACTACATTGTAGTTATCGTTACAGCACCAAAAGATCACTTTCAATAGTGATGACTTCTACTACTCATCATCTCCGTGATTCTACACCCTGATCTCCTGGACCTCTGTCATCCCTAACTTTTACATAAAAGCCAATCTTGATATACAGAGCTGCCATTCCAATTTTACCTAGCTTCCATTTCCTCTTGAAGGCCATATACTCCTCAACAATCAGGATCCAGTCCTTGCCATCCTGCAGCCACATCTCTGTAATGGTTGTCACATCGTAGTTACTTCAGTGTGTGCTATCAATTAATTCCTTTTGTCATGAGATGAGACAGTGAGTCCCCTTGACATGCAGTGACCAAGTATGACGGAGAGAAAGCTTCTAGAGGTCCTTTGTGCTGTTCCTCATCCCTGTAAATACCTATTGGCACCACCCTCTCTGAGAGGAAGGGACAGCTGAACTGAGGTCAAGGTCTTTTGTTCCCCCACTCAACTTGACACTGATGCTGAACACCAATGGCTACAGCGACAGAATTTTGGTCAATGTGTATAGCCATGTCCAGTGAGCACATGTCTCCATGTCACCAACTTGCCCATGAGACAGACAGATACATGCATCCACCATGCACTCCTTCGCCATTTGATCCCATTTATTGATGGCCTTTGACAAATCTACCTGCGGTTCAGATTGCCTGTCCATGCATTTTTACAAACTTATTAATAGCCAAGACAATGGAATCATCTTCTTCCTATGGCAGAGCAGTTGCCAGGTCTCTGGCAGTCCCTTGTGTGCCAGTGACCTGAGCTGTACCATCCTCAGCCAGCTGCAGAGATGTGTCAGTGATGAGCTCACCAGATTGTGCTCCCAAGTCCAATCTAGATAGAGAATTCACTGGGGTAGAAGTCTCTGAGCCTGTGCAGGGTGCAGGTGATTGGTGCATCTTCTGAGGGTGGTTTGGTTTCCTCCTCAGAGATGAAGGTGGAGCCGAAGAATCCACAATGCTGGCCTCTTCTTTGTGGTTCTTTGCTGGGTCCCATGAGAGTCTGCATAAGAGAAGAGAGGGAACTAGTGTCAACACAGTGTGGAGCTGGAGGAACACAGTAGTTCTAAAGAAGGGTCCCAACCCGAAACAGCGACTTTCCTTCTCTTCTGATGCTGCCTGACCTGCTGTGTTCCTCCGGCTCCACACTGTATTGACTCTGACTCCTGCAATGAGACAAAGGGAGAGATTGAATAAAAGCATATGAAAAAACACAGTTAGTAGTGATGCAGGAGCAGGAGAGGTGTCGAGGTTTCCCCAGTGAGTGAGTAGGAAATGCAGAGGACAGGAAGAGTTAGTAGTTTGTGAGGATGAGGTGGGCGACAGCCATTGAGTAGATGTGTTGCATGCATTAGTGAGCAACGAGTCAGCATTACTTGAGTGTTGGTGAGAAGTTGGTGTCAGTGTTAAATTCTAAGTGAGTGGTTGCTGTATGAGTATGAGGGACATCAGAGAGAAAATATGGTACTTACCTTTGCACAGCCCCAAAACAATTAAGCTGCTTTCAGCACTACTGGGTGTTGTATTTAACACCGGACATCAATTAACCCAGGCTGTTCTCTCTGTCCAGGTTAGTTGTAGTGTGGCCATACAACAGACTTACTTTCCACTACCCTATCCACTAACTCCTCAGCTTCCTGTTGGCGGAACAGGAGCCAGCTTCCCTTTTTGGGCACAGAAACGGAAATTGCTGGAAAAACTCAGCAGGTCTGACAGCATCTGTGGAGAAAAAGCAGAGTTAACGTTTTGACTGGACCCTTCTTCAGTCCCTTTTTGGGAAGTTGCTCAGTTACAATGGTGGAGCAGAGGAGTGGAGGGCACTTTTTGACTTGCAGCATTTGAATTGCTGTGGAGTTGGGGATTAAATATGGCGCCAGCACTGTGGACATCACAAAGTTCTGGCAGCGTCTAACATTTCCACCAAGCTCGCTGCATGATTCCATAAGATGGATGGTGGAGAGGCCCGTTGTATAGTTAATGAGCAGAGGATTATATGAGAAAGGTTGACATGGGCCATGGCAAACCACCCACCATGAATCTCACCAAAAAAAATTTGCCAAAAAACGTATGAAAATTAAACCGCATGTCCTTCTTGGTCTGCACAGTTCTATACTTAAGCTACAAAGTTGTTTATGGTGCAATTTTGAATCACACCATCAAGGAGAAAACTTAAACCACTGAGTAAATCAGTCTGGGAAAGTTCCCCTCATTTCCCTTTCATGTCAAAGCACCTGTGCCAATTGGTTTCATGGCTATTAGCACTGCCAAAGTTAATGACCAAGTAATCAATACAATAGTTAATAACATTTCTCTCATAGATAGAAAGGCAAAAACAAGCCATTGAAATGATATTAAATGCAATCAATAAAAACTGAAACATTCAGGACACCTCCAAACATTTAACATTCAAAATAAACTAAAGCAAAATAGTCAACAAAGTAACAGTCATGATAACACTACACTTCAATCAATAAGAACAGTTACTTAAATTCATTGCAAGATTATTCACTCTTTGTTATGATTGTCCTGAATTTTGAGACCATACTCTACATTTCTCTAATTCCACTAATTATGGTATATAATTAAAGTAAATGCATGTCCCAGATCAGTCCTATGTGATGATCAGACAAATATGCTCCATCACAGATTTGGGTGACCTGCACCTCTAGATATATTTATTGCTGTTGTAATCTTAACAATCAGTGTGCAACAAACTGCTGCGTCAACTTACCTTTACAATCAACCAGCTGTGGAACTAATGATGAATCACTTGAGGTGTCCATTGGCTGAATGTCGCACATCACTTGTTTATCTGTGGGGCCATAGGGAGGTGATGGTGTTTTGGCTGCAAACAGACCACGGTCAATGTTAGCAGTGGAAAGGTTGACTTTTACTTTATCAATCAGGTGAGACATACGCATAATTATTCTAAGTTGATCTTTTAAAACAAAAAATTGGGTTCCCCAAACAAGTAAGGTAACACCCAATTAAAACAGAAAATACTGGAGAAAATCAGCAACTATGACAGCATCTTTTTTCTTATTCATTTACAGGATGTGTGTGTCACTGTTCAGGTCAGCATCTATTACCAATCCCTAATTGCCCAGAGGGCAGTTAAGTGCCAATCACATTGCTGTAGGCCTGGAGTCACATGTAGGCCAGATCAGGATGGTAGTTTTTTTTTCCCTTAAAGGACATTAGTGAACCAGATGGTTTTTTGCTCCCCCCTGATAATCAACAATGGTTTCATGGTTATCGTGAGACTCCCAATTCTGCATATTTACTGAATTCAAATTCCATCACCTTCCATAGCAGGATTTGAACCTGGGTTCCCAGAACATTACCAAGGTCTCTGGAGTAATGGTCCAGTGATAATACCACTAGGCCATTACCTCCCCAGATGTGGATAGAAAAACACAGTTAATGTTTCAAGTCCAATATGACTCCTCAAATGTTGTCTCCACAGATGCTGCATGACCGACTGAGTTTCTCCAGCACTTTTTGTTTATATTTGAGATCTCCAGCATCTGCAGTACTTTCCTTTATTAAAGTAACAGCCAAATCATGTTAGATCCTACATAAGAAGAACTAGACGAAAAACAAACTTCTATTTCCCTTTCCATTGTTGTGGTAGTCACATGATATGACCATAATGGAGTTTTTGAGTAACCAGAGCAATAGATTGGTCTACAGCAGATCCAGACATCAAGGAAGGAGTGGCCTTGAGCTTTAAGAGTCATAGGCCAAAATACATCTGTTCCTCCAAAACATGCTGTACTTAGCACATGCGTGTCTTAAATTATAAACAATGTGACCCATGTCAATGTTACAACATAAAGAAAATATTGAGAAGGCATACAGGATACTTTTCTCTATTAGGTCAGGCACAGAATATGAAGCAAACAGATTCTGACAGAACTGTACAAAACACTAGTGATGTTACAGTAAGAGTACAGCATATTGTTCTAGTTACCACATTAGAGAAAGAATGTTTAATTTCTTTATTCATTTACAGGATGAGGGCGTCGCTGGCTAGGCAGCATTTATTGCCCATCCCAGAGGGCGGTTGAGAGTCAACCACATTGCTCTGGGTCTGGAGTCACATGTAGGCCAGACCAGGTAAGGATGGCAGTTTCCTTCCCTAAAGGACATTAGTGAACCAGACAGTAATGTGATCACATTAGTGACGATACAGAGAGGATTTGTGAGAATATTGCTAAGAATGAAAAACTTTAGATATCAGGAATGACTGAATAGCTGGGAGTTCTGAAGAAGGATCATGGAACTTGAAGTGTTAACTCTGCTTTTTCTCCACGGATGCTGCCAGACCTGCTGGGTTTTTCCAAAAGGTTCTATATTTGTTTCTGAATAACTGAGGTTGATTTCTTTGGAACAGAGAAGGCGGTGTGAAATCATGGAGGACTGAGATAGAGTGTATAAGGAGGATTTAATTCCCTTAGTGTGACATCACTACTCATTTGGGAATAGATTTAAAGTAATAGAAGGATCAGGGAAGACATGATAATCTTTTCATTGAGGAAGTTAGAGGTCTGAAACAGTGGTAGAAGCAGAACCTCTTATTGTATTTATAAAGTACTTAGGTACCCACATGAATTACTGACCTAGAATAAACTATTGACACATTGCAGCACAGCCTTTCAGCCCATCATGCCTGCACTAGCTGAATAAATTAGCCACACTTTCTAATTCCGCTTTGTAGCACCTAGTCCACTGGCTACGGGGTTTCAAGTGCAGATGCAGGTTTCGTTAAAATGAGTTGAGGGTTTTTGCCTTGAAAATCAAACTGAACAGTGAATTCCAGACACCCATTACTCTCTGGATGAAAACATTTTCATCAAGTCTACACTCATCCTTCTGCAAATTTCCTGTGCCCCCTGGTTCTCTGCCAGAGGAAACAGGTCTTCCTGCTACACTGTACCCAAGCCCCTCGTTATTTTTAAACACCTCAATTAATTCACCCCTCATTCTCCTATTTTCTAAGGAAAACAACATTAACCTTTCCAGTTGTTGATCATACCTGCAATTTTCAAGCCCTGGCAATGTACTTGTAAATCTGTTCTGTACTATCTCTAGAGCAATTATGTCCTTCCTGTAATGTGTACAGAACTGTATACAAAATTTCAGCTGTTGCCTGACCAGTGTCTTATATAATTCCAGGATGAATGAATGATTGAAAAGAAAGAAAACAAAGCTGATGAGAATCCCTGTACTGCCATCTTCTGGGTTCTAATGGTAAACTAAAGAGATGTCTATTCTGAATTAATTTCACTGAATGCCACTGAAATTATTTTCATTACCAGCCTCAAAAGGAATTGTAACAACAGTCCTACTGAAAGCCAAATCTACTGTTATATTGTCAAGTTGCTTTGTCATACATTCTATGAAACCAGTAATTTAGATAGCCAATATGCTTAGCATTCTTTAGTGATTGTATTTTTAATTAAACATCACAGCATTTTATCTTTCATTAAGAATTCTATAACTTTATCCTCAAAAAATCTATGTTTGTAGTTTGCTGAGTCACCTTGCTTCCGCTTTAACTAAAAATTTGCATCAACCTTTGACTAGTTCCAGTTTGCAGTGAATTCTAAAAGATTCATACCAGGGTTCCTGAAACTGGTTCTGTTATTTCCTTAAGAATCCTTACAGTATCTTCTCTTCAAAAGGATTTCATTTTGCTGTAAAATGCTTTTAAATGTTCTCAACTTGTGACAGATTTTGTCCTTAATATTAATTGAAATGGTACCTGTGAGTTGGTGTGAGGTTCTTGAATCAGAGCTGGCAGGAGAGCCGGGATAGTTGCTGTTGCTTGATGACTGAGGGAAAACATTGTTTTGTGAAGGCAGATAAGTCGGATTTATTTGCTCATGAAAAGAGCTTGGGAAAGTAACATTATGTGGCATCAACGGTTCACTCTGAGGTGGCAGAGGCACATTGCGAAACTTGACAAGTAGGCTATGTTGTGGGTTAAATTCACTATGACGTGGCACAAGTACAGGTGGTAGCACTGTAAGAGAACACACAAGTTCAGACAACCAGCAGATTTTGTACATAATTTTCTCTTGTATCACAACAAAATCATCAAAAGTTACCTACAATTTTCAGTTTTACTTGTGTACCTATGTTCAAACAAAATATGGTAATTTGTAAAATTAAAAGCTTTGTTGGTGACTTTAAAATTCAATCACAATTTTTTCTTAAAAAATCTTTGCAGCTTCATCCTCCACTTCAAACACTGGCATTAATATGCCCAATTGTCTGAAGAGCTAGATAGTAATTCCTTCTTTTAACTGTTTGCTTGCTGGCAGTTTCAGTAAACTTATTATCATCATCATCATCATCGGATACTTGCCGTGGAGTACAACCTGTGGCTAGAATCTGTGTGTGGAATTTTAATATGGGAGGGTGCAGGAGTCTCTTCCCCTCTTAACCTCCTTTCATAGGGGTGTTGGAAGGACTTACTGTTTGGCAATATCATGAACACGTCCATTAGGTTTCTGAGAAATGTTGATAGAGTTGATAGATTAATGTGGAGACAAGAATCCTTCTAATTTGCGAATCTAGAGCTGGAGTCACTGTTTAAAAATCAGGTTTGCCAATTGAAAACAAAAATGATGCAACATTTTTTCTGAGGGTCATGAATCTTCAGAACTCTCTTCCTGAAAAGATGATAGAAGCAGACTCCTGGAATAGTTTTTAGGCCGAGGCAGATAGATTCTTTTTCAGCAACAGGCTGAGGTATTGTCAGTGGTAAGTAGGAATGCAGATTTGACCTTACAATCTGATCAGCTACGATTTTATTGAACGAGGAAGCAGTCATGAAGGGCTGAATCTTTGTTCTCCTGATCTTTGTTCATTTGTTCCATGGCTATCAAGTCTTGGACCCAAAAAATTTTGGTTCAAGAAAAGAATAGCCAAAAGACCCCCCCAGGTCAATCGAACTGTTAAGGTTTTAGTTCAGCTAGTAACACTGAAAGATGACCATTCTTTCATTGACTCAGTTGTATTTGTTCTAAGCTACCCTCAACTATTAGTGAGCAGTTCTAACACACTTGCTTGCACTAGTGTTGATTTCTGAGCAACTGCTTTTAGTTTTAATTTGACAACCATGCTTATTCGTTTATCTCCAACTTTCATTCCTCCTCTCCTGCCCCGTGCAATTATTCTGTTTCAGTTTGGGAGTGTTAGCAAGACATCCAGCTATAGAAACCATCACCAAGGGAGCCAAATGAACATACAAATAAAGAGCAGGAATAAGCCACTTAATTTCGAGCCTGCTCCACCATTCAATAAGATCGTAGCTGATCTGATTACTCCACATTCTTTCCAGCCCCTGAGAATCTTTCACTCATGCATATCAAAACATCTATCTATTTCTGCCTTAAAAATAATCTTGGACTATGCTTCCACCACCTTTTGAGGGAGACAGTTCCAAAGACTCATGAAATTGATTTTTAAAAATTCTCCTTAGCATCCTTGTACTCATTGCAACTTAGAAGAATGAGAGGTGATCTTATTGAGACATATAGAATTCTTAGGGTGCTTGATAGGGTAGATATGGAAAAGTTGTCTCTACTTGTGGGAGAGTCTAGGACCACCAAGTATAATTTCAGAGTAAGGGGTCCTATTTAAGGCTGGGATGAGGAGGAATTTCTTCTCTTGAGGGTAGTGAATTACTGAATTCTTTACGACAGAGTGCTGTCGAAGCTGGGTTATTAAGTACATTCAAGGCTGAAATTGACAGGTTTTTAAATCAGAAAGGGAATCAAGAGTTATGGGGAGAAGGCAGGAAAGTGGAATTGAGGATTATCAGATCAGCATATATTTCATTGAATGGTGGAGCAGAATTAATCGACCAATGGCCTCCACTGCTCCGACATCTTATGGTCTCTGATTTAAATGGGTGACCCCTTACTTTGAAACAGTGACTCTTAGTTCTGAGTTCTCCCACAAGAGGAAACATTTATTCCACATAACCTTTGTCAAGTCTGCCTAGGATCTTATGTTTTAATCATGTCACCTTTTATTCTTGTAAACTCCAGCAGATTCAAGCCTAGCCTGTCCAGTCTTTCCACATAGGACAATTCTCCGCATTGCAGAGCCTTGCAGTCTGTCATTATTTAGGCAATATCCTTCTTTTATTCTTCTTACCAAAATGAATAATTTCACATTTTCCCACATTATACTCCATTTGCCAGATCTTTGCTTACTCACTTATTCTATCTATATCCTTTTATAGCCTTATGTTCCATCACAACATAACAACTATACATTCAGTCCCATTATCCAAGTCAATTTTTATAAATTGTAAAAGTTCGAGGCCCCAGCACTGATCTCTGTGGGTCAGCGTGTTCTCCTAATACAGCTGCAGTGGGGATCAATATTTAATGATCATGGATTGAAATCTACAGCAGATCTTTCTACTGTTTTAGAGACATTGTGGTCCATTGTAAGTGAACAAAGAAAATTTCTGGGCAATTCTACTTATGTTAGGAGTTCAGATAAAGTGCGTTTTTAATAATGAAAGACAAATAAAGGTGATACTTGACCAATTGAACAAGATAATTAGGAAATGAATCAAAATTTTCCTAGGGTATTATGTACAACTGTTCCTCTGTCTTAACAATCTTACATATCAAATGGGCATTTATAAAACTGACACATACCTGTAACATGCTCAGTCATTTATCAGTTTTAATCATGGTGTATACTTTCATGACTTACATACACATAATGGCATTTCTGGTTATAAGTACTGCATATAATTCCAATTCAAAAGAATTGAAGTTAGCTCTTAAAGAATAAATTGTTTATTATTCTAACTGCATGGAATTACTAGCTATTTACCAGAGAAATAATTTATCATTTGATAACTAAATATCATTTGAAATTTTTCCCCCCAAGCTGTAAGCACATGAGTCACAACAGTCATACTGGATCTAAAATTTCTGATATTTTTAAAGCTGATTCGTATTAAGTTTAATAAGAAACGAATAAAGTTTTATTTTCTCAGCAAACATTCAAGAACTGTCACAAATATTGTCAAATACAACAATAATGGAAAACAGCTACAAAATAGTCCTTAACAATGTTAGTATAAATTCAGCTCCAATTCATGTAATGCTTCAGTTGATGAGCTCTCAAACTCAGCTGTATCATCATGGTTCATGCAGGGAGAGAAACTTAAAAAGTCCTGTTCTAGGTCATCTTCCATTGGTTACAAAGGGACAGCGATAAAGACATGAGAACAGTTTATTTGCCAATGCTTTTGACCTTGAATGAATGGTAATAAAAAAAAGATTTAAAAATATGCTAACCAGAGAGTCCCATTATTACTTAACAATAACTCTATGAGCTGTGATGCCCCTCACACGTACATTGTAAATTACATAGAGGCAAGCACAGAATGAATAGCCTGGAACATCTTGCCCCTCCCAACTAAGAATAGTCCATGTGAGCATGGAACCAATTGAAAAAAAAATGAACAGGTAACAGATCCAGTTTTATATTAGGTAAATTGTGTCTTTTTAAACACATCAAGGTGTGCAGCACCTTGTTTCCAGGAGGCTATGGAAAGTCGGGGTTGAGTCCTCAGGAAATATTTGCTCTGTAATAGTTTGGCATTGATCAAAGTGAGTTTATCTTAGGGTACCTTTGGTAACTGAAGATTAGAATCCAATACTGGAAGCTCATTGAAACTAAAATGTTAACATGCAATTTCCCTATCTTGCCCATGCCCACCCACCAGAATATATGAATTACTGTAACATGTGATTGAGATCTGTGGGCTTTCAACTCACTCACATTCTGTACATTTTTAACCAATTTAAAGAAATTGGAACCAAGAAAATTTCCAAATAGATTGGTTACATCTGCTTTGTCGCATTTCTGGAGCCATGAAAAGTTACAGGTGCAGGAAGTAAAAAGCGATGGGTTAATCAATTCTTTAGCAGCCAAATGTGTTGTGATGTGCATATTAAACATGATTGGTTTTACTTAAAAAACAAATTAAGTCCAGATGCTATTAATTAAATGCTCATATACATAAATCCTCTGGCGCAAATAATAAAAATGAGGCACAAACAATAATATTTATTGCAGTTTGAATTAAACAAGAACATGATTTAGTCCTTAACTGTCATCCTTTGCAACAGAATATGTTTATTATGCTCACTCTTGGGAATGCTCTGGTAGTATCTGAAAATAAGTCATCATAGGTTCAAAGAATAATACAGCAATTTTCAGTTGATAATGATATTAAATGGGATACTATTTAATTTCAATTAAAGAAATGCATATCTTACAGGCTCTTTGTTGTAGCTACTTACTATCTGCAGGTATTTAAAATATGCATTCATTTGTTATAGGAAAATTGGACAAACACACAACTAATCTCACCAGTTTCTATGTAAATCCTAGATTAGGTAGGAAAGACTCAACTGAAACTCCAAAACAACAAGTGTGAGAAAAAGCCAGACTTCTACTCAATGAATTAATTTTTAAAATGGACATACATTGATTACATTATGATTTTGGTAGGTAAATTAAAAAAAACATATTGCCTAAATGATGAGACATTGCAAGTCTGTAAGATGCAGAGAGATTTTCTTATGAGGACAGGTTCTGGGCTTCTGATATTATCATGTAATAAGTACTCATTATTAAATCTCCAGGACAGCAGGGGCACCAGATTAAAGGAACTACCATAATAGACATACCTGGCATTTCCACCCTTCTGTAATGATATGGGTTAATGCATACTTCTTTCTGCTTTGAACCGAATGGGAACTCACAGTACTCGAGAGGTTTTAACTCATGGTGAGACTGTAAATCTGGCCATCGCCATACCCTGCAGTAAATTACATGCGGTAAGCCTTTACGGTGAGATACTTGTAATCTTCCATCCAAAGACCTTGGAATGGTGACACATTTGCTGAGTTGCCCTGGTGAGCTGAGGGCTTTCTCCAGGTCCTCCATGGCCCCTTTCTTTTTCTTCAGCTTTTTCACGAGTGAGTCCACAGCCTTTTCTGCCCATTTTTCCTCCTCATCTCCTTGTTTCCATCCCAGGAGCCTTTTCACTGCAGGACTTGTGAAGGAAAACAAGCTAACCATAGTCATCATTGAAAGTACAGAGGAAGAGCTTTTTTTAAACGGTTAGGAAGTATGAAGAAAATGTCATCATCAAGGCCTTCAAAGCCCATGTAGTTTGATAACTATCCAGGATAAAGTTCCTATGATATCTAGAGGTCAGCCACAACAAATCTCTTCAATGATCTGAATTTATAGCTGGCCACTGGGAAAATCAGAGAAGCTTCCAGGAATGAATGCTTTTCTTCTGTAGTCAGATGCCAGCTAGTATTAATTTCACCTGTTAGAATAATACATAGCCATGTTAAAGATCAGATAGCTCTCTCTTTTGAAGGTGTCATTCTTTTCAAATGTAGTTTACATTTCAATGCTACACTAATTGCTATGAAATACAACACCACCTGTTTGGCTGTGGAATTGTGTTGCAGTGTAAAAAAAAAGTGTTGTACACATGTACACCTCAACACACTCGTCAAGATTTAACAGTATTAAGGTATACAATTTCTGTGGCAAAATGTGAAATATTTGACTACTGCAATTTTAATTGCTGTGCTATTTCTGTAATTAGAGGCTACTGGTAAATGATATGAGCATAAAACCATTTTGAATCTCTGAAATCAGATGCAATGAAACCTGAAAAGTTTAGGTGCCTCAAGGACTGGCATCGGCCTTCCTTTGGTATTTTTCAATTTTTTTCATTTTTTCATCATTTTGAAAATATGAAAATTGTCATTCAACAAATCATTTTCTGATTCATTTCCCAGTGTAATGTCCTGACCAATCAGTGTAAACCTACTCGGTTTTAAATCTAAACAGAATTTGGGCGCTTAACAGTCAATCATAAGACATGAAGACTATAAGATATGGAGCAGATATAGGCCATTCAGCCTATCGAGTCTTCCCTGCCATTCGATCACGGCTGATATGTTTCTCAACCTTATTCTCCTGGCTTCTCCCCGTAATACTTAATCCCCCAATCAAGAATCTATCTCTGTCTTAAATACACTCAAATACTTGGCCTCCACGGCCATCTGCAGCAATGAGTTCCACAGATTAATCACCCTCAGGTTGAAGAAATTCTCTCATCTCCGCTCTAAAGGGCCACACTTCACTGTGAAGCTGTTCCCTTGAGTCCTAATCTCTCCTGATAGTGGAAACACCTTCTCCATGTCCACTCTATCCAGGCCTCTCAGTAATTTTCAATCAGATGCCCCTACTCACCGTTCCAAACTCCATCGAGTACAGACCTGGAGTCCTTAACTGCTCCTCATATGACAAGCCCTTCATCCCCTGGATCATTCCTGTAAATCTTCTCTGAAAACCCTCCAAGGACAACGTATCCTTCCTTAGATACAGGGCCCAAAAGTGCTAACAGTATTCCAAATGCAGTTTGACTGGAGCCTTATACAGCCTCAGCAGTACATCTCTACTTTTGTATTCTTGCCCTCTTGAAATGAATGCTAACATTGCATTTGCTTTCCTAACTACCAACTGAACCTGCAGGACCCCTGTGGAACTCCACTAGTCACTGGCTGCCACCCTGAAAAAGTCTCCTTTATCCCTACCGTCTGTCTTCTGCCAGTCAGCCAATCCTCTATCCATGCCAGTACTATGCCCCTAACACCATGGGGTATTAGCAGCCATGTGTGCAGCACCTTGTCAAAGGCCTTCTGGAAATCATTAACTGCTGTATTCTCCAGTAAATGCCTGGACCAATCAGAGTCCACATATCAACAAAACAGAACTATTTCCCCAAAACAATATAAATGGTGGCTTTCCCCTTCATTGACATTCTTGTGAATGGTTTTGATGAATGCAAGATGAAAAGCTTTGACAAAATGTAATTCTTTTCAGCTATACACATTCTATGCACTGTAAATAGAGCAGGCAGTTATTCACAAAACATTCAGACAGCCAACGAAACATTCTCCATAGGACAGAACCATGGAAAATGCATTCAATTACAGAGATCTGTATCAATGCTGGGCAAGGGACTCCAAAGCAGTGAAAGTAATTTCTTTGATAAAATCCCCGCCACCTCACACTGACATGCATTTTAATTTGCAAAATGGTTTGGTGTCCTTGTACACCAGTCAATAAAAGTAAACTGGAAGGTGCAGCAAGCAATTAGGATGACAAATGGTCAGCTTTCATTGAAAGAGGATTTGAATTGGTAGTAAGAATGTCTTTACTGTAGTTATACAGGGCCTTGGTAAGACTACATCTAGAGCATTTTGTGCAATTTTGGTCTCCTTACCCAATGCTGATATATTTGCCACAGAGGACGTACAGTGAAGGTGCACAAGGCCAACACCAGGGATAGCAGGACTGTGATATGAGAAAAGATTGGTTTGACTTGGCCTGTATTCACTACAGTTTAGAAATGGGGGTGGGGGGGATCTGATTGAAACATAAATCCTAATAAGGCTAGACAGGCTAGGTGCAGGGAGGACTTTCTCCCTGGCTTGGGAGTCTAAAACCAAGAATCAAAGTCTCAGGATATGGGATAGGCCTAAGATGAAGAAGCATTATTCTTCATTCAGAAGGTGGTCAAATTTCAAAATTTATTACCACAGAAAGCTGTGGAGGCTGAATCACTAATTATATTCAAGAAAAAGGGTTTTATTTAAAGATATTAAAGGCATCATGGTGTATGGAGAGAAAGTGGTATTTAGTGGCAAAATAGAGGATCACCCACAATTATACTGAATGGCAGAGCAAGCTTGAAGGGCCAAATACCCAACCCCTGCTCCTCCTTTCGAGGTTCTGATGAAAACTGTCCATAGAGCTTTCCAGCCAGTGAAAGATTTTCGTTTTGTAATCACTGGTGTAACGTAGGAAAAATACCAGCCAATTTTGTATGGCAAGCATCTGATAAGGAGCAATGCAATAATGATTAGCTAATCTGTTTTCATGTTTGAGGGACAAATGTTGGCCAGGACATTGGAAATAACTCTCTTTTGTTTCATTGAATGCCATGGGATCATTTACATCCACTAGAGAGAGAGAGAGAGATCAAATCAATTTAACATTTGAGGTAGGAGATTGCAAAATTATCCAAAAAAAAAGCCACAGTTTACAACTTAGTTTGAAAATAGCAAACAATCTTAACATTAGTAAAAAGCTGATACCATACCGTAAAAAGCTGATACCATACCATAAACGCAGGTCACATTTGGGGATTTGATCCCAACTGTATCAATAACTACAGTGCCAAGAACTGACCTGAAGAACTTTGCATCCCAACCTGTTCGGCTTGAAGGCCCAACTTTCTCTCCGATATAACCCAGAACTGCAGAGCTTTAAACCACCAAAGAGTACAAAAAAGATCGTGGACAGCACGGGAGACTTTATTTCTCAGATCCCGCCTAGAAACCAGGCAACTGGCCCCCAGGTTCCTCAAGTTTCCAACTCATGGGAGATTTTGTTTAATGTTTTGACGGATTGAGTAACTCGTAGAAGAACATCGTAGAATAAACTTCGATGAGTCCCCAAGCTGGGGGGGCGTGAAAAAAAATCAACATTATTGACAAAAGAAACAAAACGCATTAATGGTTCAACTTACTGACCCTTCTGAGGTGCACGGATTCCGTCAGCCCGTCTCATGTGACAATCCCATGGACATCCAGAAAAGATTGAAGAAAAACTTCACAGCGATTTACGAAAAGTAGCGGTGAGTGAGTGAATGAGGGCCAGACAGCTCGGTATCAGGGTCCTAGATAATCTCACTTCTAGCACCCAGACAAAGAAATTTTCAGTCACAGAGCACCACTGTCATGGAGTCATTGAGTCCGAAACAGTGAAGTGCCAAAGAGACAGTCAGTCTGAGTCTCTCCGCGCTGTGCATAGGGATCAGGCTGAGAGAATGCCAATGAGGCAAAGCCACGGCCAAGTCTGTGTCACAGTACTAACGAAAGATAGCCAGAATGCCGGAATCAAAGCTTCATGTTTGAATATCAGTCATAGCTTTGCTTTCGCAGAAGTCCGCGTCAGGAACATCCTAGCCTTATGCTTTCAACGCACTGATTTTGGCAGCAGTGCAGCACTGACATAATCATCATGTCAGGGTCAAAAGTGCAGCATTATGTAGCTGGTGCCAGCCCAGTCTCATCTGTATTATGAGAGACACCACCTTAAAGAAATTGTCTCAAATAAATTGTTTTGATTAGTTGCAAAAACCACTCTATGTTATTGCGGCGAGATAGCCTTCAACAGCTGCAGATTAACATACAGTACAGCAGCCTGGAAATCACAATCAGTATAAATGTATCTTTGTACTGCTCTAGTCCTCCTTTGTGGTGTGAACGGCCAGTGCACATTCCCCACAAATAATGCTGACACAAATCATGACACTCATATCAATCAATGCCAAACAGGGATACATTCAGTCTAAATTGGCCTGAGTGATGTGAGAATGTTATGGACTCAACCAGTCAGGTGTTCTTAGTAAAGTGTCATTTCACACAGACATGTTACAGAATGTGTGACATTTGTGTTCATTGACCTCCAGCTGCAAGTGAAATTTTGAATGTACCAAGAAAACAACATTTCAGGTCAGTTCTCTTTCAATCAGACTATTCCATGTATTAATTTTGAAAAATGACACGGTTTCAATTGAATCAGCTGGTACTGGTATGATTAGGGAGACCTGATACTGTCATTAGTATGAAGCCCAGTCCATTTTAACTTGTTATTTTGATATCCTCAGATCCTGTTTTGGTAATGACTGTGAAGCTATCAGCAAATCTGACAGCGACGTCAGGAGTTCTGTCATGCATAGAATAAGGTGGAAACCCAGACATTGCAACCAGTGAGGCTATACTTCTCCACAGAGTGTGCTGCAGAGGCTGGTAGAGTTATACATTGCAAAAACAGACCCTTCAGTCCAACTTGTCTGCACCAACCAAACATCCACATTTGACCTATTCCCATTTGCCAGCATTTGGTCCATATCCCTCCAAACTCTTCCTATTCATATATCCATCCAGATGCCTTTTAAATGTTGGAATTGTAAGTGCCTCCACCACTTCTTCTGGCAGCTTGTTCCATATACACACCACCCTCTGTGTGGAACCAGTTACCCCTCAAATCTTTCCCCTCTCACCTTAAACATATGCCCTCTATATTGCCCTGGACGAATACATGAATAGGAAGGGAATAGAGGGATATGGATCCTGTAAGTGAAGACAAGTTTTAATATGGAAGGGCAAAATGTGTCGGCACAGGCTTGCAGGGCCGAAGGGCCTGTTCCTGTGTTGTGTTGTTCTTTGTTCTTTTGGACACTTCCCGTCTCATGCAATTGCAAATTCATGAGACCTTGTCCTGTAACACTGTCAGGCTCACAACAAAAACCCATGAAAAAGTTGCATCCTGTTGAAAGAGGAGGAACAGCATATGAATTGCACAATTACCATAAACATCCTACTGGTCCTGAAAAACTAATTTTGTATTTGTCTAGTGTCAAATTTCTCCCAATGGTATAAATTCCATGTTCTTTCTATTTTTTAGAAGGCTTTTTTTTTAGCTTTCACATACTCTGAGGCAGAGTAATATGAAGATTCATTGCTTTCTGAGTAAAGAGATTTCTCCTCATCTCGGTCTTAAATGGGTTTTCCTTTGTTCTGAGATGTGTCCCCGGTTCTAGATTCACCCTCCTATGTACATCCGCATATAAAAATTTGTCAGTTTCAATAAGATCACCTCACTCTTTGGAACTCTAAGGAATATAGACCCAGTTTTCTCAATCTCTTCTCATGATCCTGCTTTCCTAGGGCTTAGTTTGGTGAATCTCTGATGGACTCTTTCTATGGGAAAACTTCCTCAGATAAGGACACCAAAACTGTACACAATCCAAGTGCAGTCTCACCAAAGCTCTATATAATTGCAGCAAATTATCTTTACTTCTGTACTCAAATTTCCTCACATTGGAGGTCAACATATCATTTCCTTTCATTTTGTTTGCTGCATGCGAGTTTATAGAGACTCATAAACAAGGATGACCAGCTCCTAATGGGTATCAACACATTCCAACCACTCACCATTTAGGAAATCCCTAGATGACTATAAAAAGTGTAGGAGCACACTTAAAAGGGAAATCAGAAGAACAAAAAGAAGATATGAGAAGGATCTGGCAGATAAGGTTAAAGGTAATCCCAGGAGGTTTTATAGCTATATTAAGAGTAAAAGGGTAGCTAGGGAGTGAATAGGTCCCCTTAAAGATCAGCATGGCTGTCTATGTGTGGAGCCACAGGAGATGGAGGAGATATTTATTGAATATTTCTCCTCAGTGTTTACTGAGGAGAGAATCATGGATGCTAAGGAAATAAGGTAAACAAGTGGAGATGTTTTGGACTGTATACACATTACCAGAGAGGAGGTGTTTTCAGCCTTAAAGTGCATAAATCCCCTGGGCCTGATCAAGTCATTCCTTGAATGTTGTGGGAAACTAGAGAAGAAATTGCAGAGGCCCTTGCAGAGATTTTTGGTTCACCTTTAGCCACTGGTGAAGTTCCAGAAGACTGGAAGTTGGCTAATGTTGTTCCATTTTTTAAGAAAGGTAGCAAAGACAAGCTAGGGAACTACAGGCCAGTGAGCCTGACATCAGTGGTAGGCGAGTTATTGGAGAGGATACTGAGGGACAGGATCAACCTACATTTGGATAGTCAGCATGGATTTGTATATGGGAAGTCATGTCTGACAAATCTTTTAAAGTTTTTTGAAGAGGTACCAACAGAACGATGATGATAGGGCAGTTGATGTTGTCTATATGGCCTTTAGTAAGGCCTTTGACAAGGTCCCGCATGGCAGGCTAGTCACGAAGGTTAGGTTGCATGGGATCCAGGGAGAGATAGCTAATTGGATTCAAGATTGGCACAATGGTAGGAAGCAGAGGGTAATGGTTGAAGGTTGTTTCTTGGACTGGAGGCCTGTGACTAGTGGTGTGCCACAGGGGTCAGTGCTGGGACCATTGTTATTTGTTATTTACTTGAATGATCTGGATGTGAATGTACAAGGTATGATTAGTAAATTTGTGGATGATACAAAATTAGGAGGTATCATTGATAGCAAGGAAGGTTATCAAAAATTACAGGGGGATCTTGATCAAATGGGGAAGTAGGCTGAGGATTGGCAAATGCAATTCAATACAGATAAGTGTGAGGTGCTGCACTTTGGAAAGTCAAACCAAGATAGAACTTATGGAGTAAATGGTAGGGTCCTGAGGAGTGTTGTGGAACAAGGGGACCTAGGAGTACAAGTACATAGTTTGTTGAAAGCGGCGTCGCAGGTGGACAGCGAGGTGAGGAAGGCATTTAGCATGCTGGCCTTCATCAGTCAAGGCATTGAGTGTAGGAGTTGGGACTTTATGTTGCAGTTGTACAAGTCATTATTGAGGCCACACGTGGAGTACTGTGTACAGTTCTGGTCATCCTATTATAGGAAAGACCTAGTTAAACTGGAAAGTGTGCAAAGAAGATTTACGAGGATGTTGCCAGGATTAGTAGGCCTGAGTTATATGGAGAAGTTGGCCAGGATAGGACTTTATTCCTTGGAATGTAGGAGAATGAGGCGTGACCTTATTGAGGTGTATAAAATCATGAGGGCCATAGGATGAATGCATATAGTCTTTTTCCCAGGATGGGAAATTGAAAACTAGAAGGTATAGGTTTAAGGTGAAAGGAGATAGATATAAGAAGGACCTGAGGGGAAACTTCTTCATGCACAGAATGGTGTGTATATGATTGGGCTGCCAGAGAAAGTGGTTGAGGTGGGTACAACAGCAACATTTAAAAAAAGTTGGATAGGTACATGGATGAGAAGGGATTAGAGGGATATGGACCAAATGCAGGCAATTGGAATTAGCTGAGTGGGCACCATGGCTAGCATAGACCAGTTTGGACCGAAGGGCCTATTTCCATGCTGTATTACCGTATGACTCTATAAATGTTCTATCTTTTTTTCTACCAATGTGGATTACTTCATGTTCATTCACATTATATTCCATTTGCCATTCTTGCCCATTCAATTAGCCTGCCCAAGTCTGCTTGAAAACTACTTGCATCTTCCTCATTTTTTTTTACATTCCTGCCTAGTTTTGTGTCACTGGCAAATTTGGAAATATTAAAATTGGTCCCCAGATCCAAATCATTTGTTTAGATTATGAATGAATGTAGCACTGATCTTTGTGGTACTCCATTAGTAGTATAAGTCCCACCTGTTCAGAGATGAACTCACAACTGAACAGGTTGCTTATATACAGCCTGTCATCCTGAGAATGGTCTATTTATTCCTACTCTATGCTTTATGCTGTAAACCATTTCTCAGTCCAAACTAGTACATTACTCCCAATCCCAAGCACTCTAATTTGTTTATGAACCTTCTGCGTGTGGCCTTCTCAAAAGCCTCCTGAAAATTCAAATATACCACATCCACTGTCTTTTCTTTAACTGTGCTACAAGTATCATCCTCAAAAAATTTAGAAAGGTGGGAAAATACAGAGAGAATGAAAAAAATCAACACCTCATGTCAAGAGAAATTTTTTGTGGTTTTTATCCTCAGGCCTATATTGGCGACATCAGAATCTCACCATTTGTGTAGTGAGTACCTTATTTACATGATTTTGCATCTCATTAAATGCCCAACTCAACTTATGAGTTTCAATTCTCCTCTCTTTCCCTGAGAAGCTATACAGCACAAATTCATTAAACGTGATTCAGAGCCAGTACTTGGTTACTGCAGCTCACTGAATGCTTGTTCTTGTCATCATCCAACTGTTTCTTCACCACAACACTTCTGTACGGTCCTTGACCACTATCCTCTTCCACTCTTCATCCTCACACATCAACATCAGTAAACCATGAGCCTTAACACATTATCATGCCTTTTCTCGATCCAACTCACGCAGCGCTTCGGCCTTTCAATGCTACTTTGCAGCTGAGGGAAACCTA